GTCACTCTGTATCTCCAATAATATGTCAGATGAGATTTTAATGATCCAAACATATAATGCAATGCAATCCAATGATTGAGAGCTGAAGAAATAAAGGCTCCTCAGAAGATGTGAGATGTTCTGGAGGCTTGTGAAGATCATTCCTCCGCTGAGGAACAGTGAAAGTAAAGCTTCTGGAAACAAACGCTCCTCAAAAGATCCTGAGGATCAGATTTGAGACTCTAAAACATGATTGATGGAGAATCAAGTAAAGCTGAGCTGCTTCAGTCCAGTAAGTGTTCATCTGGAGATATTACTGCAGTTATTCTGACCTTTACTTGATCAAAATCAGTCAAGATTTGACACGAGAAGCTCCAGCTGAAGCTGGACACTTGTACAATTACACTAAAAGAGCTTTGACTGGAGAAAACACTCTAAACTATCAATCAGAGACAGAAGGCATGGAGGAGATTGATCATGTTGATCATTTAGAGACCTTAGAAATTCATGATACAGTAGCTTTATAGGGTTAAACACTTCAGCTGAATTCAAACACAGAAACAGGGAGACTATCACGAGACTCGGAGGACAGAGAAGCACGTGGCCGCTCCTCAGCACAGCTCTGGGATCAGCAGGAGGAAAAGGAAATGATGTCGGAAACCAGATGAATCTGCAGGTCGCTGATAACAGAGCTGTGAAGCCCATAGTGAGCGAACGGGTCAAAGCAGCCTTCACCTGAGAGACAAACACACTCCAGCACCTCCTCAGCCTTCATCTCCACCAACACACAGTCAACATCAGCTTCTTCAAGCACATTCTCCTTAATAACTCTCTCAGAGCTCCTGCGTTCCGTTAGACATGAACTTATAAAACACGCCCACCACACGCTCTCAGCCAATCAGAGGGAAGCACTGCAGTGATTGACAGCCTGCAACACCTCTGCCAAAGAACACCAGCGATAAACACAGAAAAGTGAACGAAAGAGACGTTCTAAAGAATAAAAGCAGACTTGTATGGGTTTACGTGAAGCTCAATGAGCGTTTGGGTCATTCACACATGCAGCCACAGACAGGAAGTGCTCTGCCACCATTTCCTGCATTCCTGACAGCACGGGATAACAGGGGCTGGGAATGGAAAAGAGGAAAAAGCCCATCCGTCTGCATTCGTGCGGGCCTCTAATGGAGCGAGGAAGACGCCCATTGTTAACGCCGCGGGAGCGACACGACATTAACCTCAGAGCGACGCAAACACAACGCTCCACCCTCTGTAGAGACGAAGTGTGTGATTGTTCACCATGTTCAAAGAGTTTGAACCCTCAACCGATGACGCGAGTTTGCAGCTGGGTTATCATACTTAACTAAAACTAGTCTGAAACCACAAAAAACATGTTCCTTACTAGAAATATAATTTTAAAAAATTATTTTCTTACTTAGTATGTTTGTCTTGTTTTCTAGTATAAATATCTAAACATTCTTGAATCAAGATGCATTTATTGTACAAGTATAATTATTTGAGATATTATGTCTTGTTTTCTGTAAAAAAAAAAAAATCTAAATTTTGTAAGTTTTTACTTAAAACAAGCAAAAATATCTGCTAATGGGGTAAGAAAAATCTTCTTAATTCAAAGGCTAAACAAGATTATTTTTCTTGCCACATTAGCAGATATTTTTGCTTTTTTAAGTAAAAACTTACAAAATTTAGATTTTTTTTTTTTTTACAGAAAACAAGACATAATATCTCAAATAATTATACTTGTACAATAAATGCATCTTGATTCAAGAATGTTTAGATATTTATACTAGAAAACAAGACAGAAATACTAAGAGGATATTTTTTTTGCAGTGTATATATTTTTTTATTTCAGCTATTTATCAAGGCAGCGTTTCTCATTTTCATTACAGTTGTTTTTCATCTGCTTGCACACAGAATCTTTCCTTGTCACACAGTTTCTGAAAGCTGACACTCAAACAGCAGAAGCTCACACCAAATCTACAAAACATACACTAATTCTCAGACTTTGACTTTATGCACTTTTTGCAAAACACAACACACAGTCCTCTGTAACACACACAAATCTAACAGGAAGTGTCCTGACTTCCTTTTTCAAACACAAGCGATCAGAAAGCCACACTAATTCATCACTAACTCCTCACATGTGCTTCACTGAACACCAACCAATCAATAAACACACATCTACACAACTGTTTCTTCTCTTTAGTGCGGTGTAATACTGTGTTCACAACCACAGATGCTTACAGGAAAACAAGTTTGCTCGAAAGATTTGTCAACATCTCTCTGCAGTTACTTTCAGTCTTGTACAGAAATGTTCACAGGAGCTCATGAAAGAAGAGCTTTAGGTTTTGAATAACTGTGTTTATGTGATATATCCAAAAATATTATATTATAGCAAAGGTGTCTGCAACGTAAGACAAATGTTTGCTTTTGAGGTGTGTTTGTGATATTTTGAATGCAGTGCATTTTGTGTGTGCAACTCTTGGATTTGTGTGTGAAGTTTTATAAAAAAAGAGGCAAAGTTTTGAAAATGTGTGTGAGCAGTTGAAAAAAAACTGTAGTTGAACTTGATGCTTGATACTTAACTAAAACTGAAATAAAAATTTATACAAAATTATATAGACACACACAACTAAAACATTAACTAAAATGAATATGAAAGCAGAAAAAAATAAAATAAAATAAAAAATGATAGTATCTCGATACTAAAACTATCGCTGGTTGGGGGCGGGACTATCTGCTTGACTGACAGACGGCAGGAGAGTTTAGGAAACCTGTTCGAACTCAGTCATTATTTCTGTGAGAAATGACTTGATACATGTTCTGAATGAATCAGTATAATATTATAAGAGTGATGGAGTTACAGTGTTCACCGTATGTGAACCGACGGAAGCGTTTGGCCACAGAACTGTCCGGTGTTTAGACTCAGATACTGAGATCTGACTTTCTAATAAAAGCTGAATGAAACATGAAGAGAAACGGAGACAACATCTGATGAGCTTCACCTTCACAGCACATCTCTCCACGGACTCCATGTTCAAACACGCGTGTTTACATGCGTGACCCGGTGGATCTTAAAGAGACAGTCCACCATGTAATGATGCATCTGTCATCTTTTACGCTCCTCGTGATGTTTCAAACCCCTTCGACTTTTCTTCTTCAGTGGAAATAAAGATGTTCCAACAACAGAACCAAACAACATTTCAGCAAAACTGACTTTAAATGTATGGACAAAAAAATCTTTTTTGCAGTAAATGATGACTCAATGATCATTTTCGGATCAACTATCCCTTAGAGATCCTTCATGTCTGAGTGTTATAAAGTTTAGAAACAAAAGAAACCAAACTGAAATGAAGCATCACAGATCAGCTTTAACCAGAAGAACAGTCTCAATACTTCATTCAGCAGACGCTTTTATCCGCATGAGAAACGATAAAACATTATGAACCAGAGCTGAATTGAAGCAGACGCAAAATAAATAAAGTGAAGAGGATAAAATATTCAACTGAAACGTTAAACTGTACAATCATAAATCACTGATTCTTGAGATGCGGGACAAAACGGTGCAACATTGAAATACAAATCCTTGTGCTCAGACAAATGAAACTACATTTCTGTATCTTATGTGTACTAAGCTATGCTTTAATGCAACCTCCCAACTTTACTCTTTTTTATCAAAATGTGCTTTTTACCTTGGACTGTGTAATCTAATTTCAACTTTATCTCTAACAGCAATTTAGATGTTTTTAACTTGTTAGCAGACAGATGACACTTTCACATGTGACCAACAACTCCTCAACAAATATAAAACATCAATGAAATGTTATCAAAAAATGTATCTGACGGTGGTGACGAAAACCTGATTTTGTAGTCATTTTAACTATCTAATACATTGAATCAATCAGTTACTGTATTAAAACAAACACAACAAACAGTGAGTATGTTATTGTTTATAAAAGATTCACATTTAAGTATTTTGATACATCTTTGGAACACAAATGATCTATTTTCTCTCTGTTGCTATGGTAACACGGTAACTTTTAAAAACAGTTATGTGAACAAATGAAACAATTAGTTGTTACTTCTATCCATTTACATTCAGCAGGATCTCAATATTCACATTTAAACATCTTAACAAATGATCCAAAAATGACCAGAGCACATATGATCAGAATATAAACGAACTGTATTAGATATGTTTTATCCAAATGACATTTCAGCAAACACTCAGTCATAAAAGCTAGTCCAACTAACTAGCAGTTAACCAGTCTAACTTTTCGTTCTCAAATCTGACCAATCTAAGTTTTCACGCAACTGAATAAAACAGGGCTTCTGCAGGGTTGATGAAGGTAAACTTTTCAAGACGAAGTAAAGAATAAATTGAAGGGAACACAATACGTCAATATGGTCTCTAAATCTAAATGTCTAAACACTTCAAAGTTTGTAAAATACAACAGATCTTCATTACTTTGTAATTCACTTTCCAAAAAAAATAAAGCGTTTAGATTGAATAGCTCTGCTCACAAACACTAGAATATGGAAATAACCTTTACCTTTTGAACAAACCCTAAAAACAAAGATTGTCTTTGTTTTCTGTCAGTATTTCTGTCTAAAGATCCTTAAATCAAGATAGATTTACTGGAGATGCAGAATGAAGATATGAAGTCTTGTTTATGATTAAAAAAAGAACAAATTTCTGCCAAAAGGCTCAGAAAAATCAATCAATTTCTGTTCAGTTTCTCAGAAAACAAGACTGTTTATATGCATCTACAGTAGATGTGTCTTGATTTAAGGATGTTTAGATATTTGCACTGGAAAACAAGACAGAAATACTGAGGAAGAGATTCATTTTTTTGCGGTTCATGCAACATTAAATGCCACAACTTTATGAATTTAAGACTTTCTGCTCTGATATAAGCCTTTTAAGGCTCTAATTTGTGAAAAGAGTGAATTAAGACTTTGTAAGACCAGCAGAAACCCTGTAAAAGTTATGACCAGTTGACAAAGTTGTACAACTAGTCAAAGCAGTTCATGCAACCAGCCACAGATTTGACCGAAGAATCTCCACAAACAGCGAAATTCCACACAAACTCTCAGAAGATGAGAAGACACGTGAAGGAGCTCTCAGCACTGGTTTGGATCTCCAGTAACGAGTGTGTGAGGAGCCGCTCTTACCTTGATGGTGCTGGCCATGCTGGAGCAGGACAGGCCGTCGTGAGAGTGTGTGTGTGTGTGTGTGTGGTTACGAGGTTCTGCCGAGCGCGGTTCAGAGCGGATGAGATTGTGCTAAAGCTGGAAGTGAAGTCAGCCCGCAGCAGGAAGAGCTTTCTATTGGTTCTGGACGCGCAGCTCGAAGAAACAGGATATTTGGGAGAGCAGAGATAAGCTGAACTGAAACAATGATGTTTTTCTGGACGTGTGTGAGACGGAGAGACAGACAGGTGCTGTGAGACAGACAGGATACAGATGTGTGCTACAGACAGACGGATGAAGATCTGACCCCTGACCTCACACACTCTCCTCAGGTGTGCTCATCTGTCAACACACCCATAATGCACTGCAAACACGAGGGTCAAACACACTCGATTACAACACAAACTGATCATAGTGACCGACAGCACACACACACACACCGCTTTTTAACTAGCAGAACTAACCGAAGCCTCTAACAGCACAGATCAAGTGTGTGTGTGTGTGTGTGTGTTCAGTGTTGTGTTCCTCAGATGCTCTTAAGTAACATCAGTTACTATGAGGAAGTTACAGTGAGACACTTTACAGTGTGAAGAAATCAGTGAACACAGGAGAGACGCCCTGATACACACACACACACACACACACACACACACTGAACACACACACACACACACACGCGTTTGTTTCTCTGATTTGTGGGGACTTTACACTTTTTTAGATAGAGACAGATGGACAGACAGATACTTTTTTAGACAGAGAGACAGATGGACAGACAGATACTTTTTCAGACAGATGGAGAGACAGACAGACGGAGAGACAGACATAGAGACAGACAGATGACAGACGACAGACAGACGGCGAGACAGACAGACAGACGACAGAGAGACAGACATAGAGACAGACAGACGACAGACAGACGACAGACAGACAGATGGAGAGACAGATGGAGAGACAGTCAGACAGACAGACAGACAGATGGAGAGACAGACAGACAGACAGAGAGATGGAGAGACAGACAGACGACAGACAGACAGACGACAGAGAGACAGACGACAGACAGACGGAGAGACAGACATAGAGACAGACAGATGACAGACAGACAGACAGACAGATGACAGACAGACAGACGGAGAGACAGACAGACACAGACGGACAGACAGATGACAGATAGACAGACGGAGAGACAGACAGATAGACAGACAGAGAGACAGACAGACAGACAGAAGGTGTTAAATATGAGACTCCAGCAGAGCTTTAGCATGATGTTTCACACACACACACACACACACACACACATACACACACACATCATCATCATCACTACAAGCATTAACTGCAACAGGTGCTCCACAGCAAGACACAAAAAACATTCATAACACACGTAAACTTACACTTTTCAGATTTCAGAGTAAAACAACAACACAAGAGAGTTCAGAGCAAAGTACACACACACACACACACACAGACTCACGTGAAGATCATGTCGTGTTCACAGACGGATGTGCTGAGAAACTCCTGTCCCGCTGCGGCACAGAACTCATCTGAGCGTTCAGATCACCGCAAGCCCTGAGCACCCGTGTGTGTGTGTGTGTGTGTGTGTGTGTGAGAGTGTGTGTGTGTGTCAGTGTCACTGTTTGGCGCTCATCCCGCTGAAGCTGCTCGATAACAAATGTCTGGAGATCTGCAGGTTTTCTGCACATGCTGAACGTGAGCAGAGCTCCTCCATCACAACACACACAGACAGAGCTGCGTCTGAACGTCTTAATTACTGTACAGTGTGCGAGTGTGTGTGTGTGTGTGTGAGAGAGAAAGAGAGAAAGAGATATCAACAGGACTGTATAAAAGAAACCGGATGGCCCACTAGCTGATGGATACTTTACTGTCCCATGAGGCCAATGGAGGACAGGAACTGTGACATAATTACTTTAAAATTTAATTATAAAACATGTAATTAAAGTTTGCCATAGTGACACTAACATTAATACTGTTTGATCATCAGTGAAGATATCAGACAGCAACAGCTCTCTACAGGCTGCAGGACTTTTATTTTGACATTGTAGAGGTTTTTCCCATCTGTTTATGATGCTTTAAGACAGTAAGTCAGGACTGACTGTATTTACATTAATGTCACATTGAAGAAACATACCTGACATTTTAATCACACGTGTGATTAAATGTTAATTACACGAGTGTTTTAAAACTTAGTTACTAAGTTAGATTAAATAAAGTCTGTGTGTGTGTGTGTGCGTGCGTGCGTGTATGTGTGTGTGTGTGTGTGTGTGTGAGTGTGTGAGTGAGTGTGTGTGTGTGTGTGCGTGTATGTGTGTGTGTGTGAGTGTGTGTGAGTGAGTGTGAGTGTGTGAGTGAGTGTGTGTGTGTGTGTGTGTGTGTGTGTAATTAATTAATTGAGGGCTTTTACATTTGTAAAAGAAGAACTTTTTATATTAATATATATATTAAATAAAATTTAAAAAAAACAAGAATATACACAGATTTGTTGCCAGGGTAACAACAACAAAAACAAGGTAATAAAATTGTATCTTAGGAAGACACAAAGCACGAATATAAAGATACTGTTCCCTTTCAAGGGAACTTCGAACTGCGTCCTCTAGGGGTCGCTATGGGGAACGCCTCGTCGTGACCCGTGTCTGAAGCATACATTGAAAAAACACCAACAACTGACGTCACTACTGGTGCGACTATAGTCTAA